ATAGCAAGATACCTTTCTGGATGTTGTAATCAGCTAGGGTTCGGCCATCTTCGAGCTGCTTTCCAGCGAAGATCAATCTCTGCTGATCCGGCGGGATCCCTGAAGCATAAATAAAGAAGGAATTCTCAAATTTTATTGGAAAAAACTTAGCAAAAATCCATTTATTTTATTGTGTTGCTTTTGCAATCCTAAATTAACATAAAAAGAAGATGAATATGGTCGATAAGGTAAATAAAGATGCATTCTTTATTCTTTTGCATATCTAAATTAACGTGAAAGCTGCTGCATATGGTAGATAAGCTACATTCAATCAAAAACTTAATAAATGGATTTTTTCTTCTTTTTTTTTTTCATTTGCAATTCTATATTAACACGAAAGAAGCTGAATATGTTTGAATAAAAATCCAATATTTGTTTTTTCTTTTCATTTTTTTTAATTAACATAAAAGAAGCTCAAAATGATCAATGAGCTGAAAATAAACAAACGAACAAGAGAGTTTACCTTCCTTGTCCTGAATCTTAGCCTTGACATTGTCAATGGTGTCGCTCGATTCGACCTCGAGCGTGATGGTCTTGCCGGTTAGAGTTTTTACAAAGATCTGCATTTTCGCAATTCTTGTCCTAACGCAAGGTGGGCTAATGCGATTATATAGCAGGAGCTAACTAGGGTTTGGGTAGTCCAAACGACGTCGTCCTAACTTTATTTTGTTATTTAGGCATGCCCTATTGTGACATTGTCTAATGAATATTTATATTTTATTGTCATTGTTTAAAATAATTTTACTATCAAAAGTATAATTTAATTAGGTGTAATATTTAATACATTATTATCAAATATTTGATTCATAAAAAGATTAAATTATTTGTATGTGATAATTAAGTTTAATTTTTTTATGTTATTTATTAAGTTATAATATGAGATTGTTTCGTAGTGTATGTTTCAATTTAATGCAACAATTATTTTATCATATTTTAATTTAATTATAATAATTTACAATATTTTGTTAATATTATATTAACCTACATAAAAATAAAAAGATAAAAGAAAAAGGACAGCGCAAACTGTAGCGCACGTTCATATTTTTATTTTAGCATTACTCTATCTATATATAATAAGAATTACCATTTATCAAAAATAGTAGTAAAAAAATAGGTCAGAATTTAATGCAGCCTATAAATAATAAGTTTATTATTTTATTATTTTTTCTTTAAAAATCATACAAATTAAATGATACCTTAAATTTCGGCATTAGTTAATTTTATTATTTTTATTAAGTGTGTATGTTTTTATTTTTATTTATTTCTTAGAAACAAAGAACAACATTAAAATCTCAATCTCTATATTTATAAAATCTCAATTCAAGATATAACAAAAATTTTAGAATCTCGGTCTTTATATTTGTACCTTTTAAAAAAATATTGAACGCTAAAAATATTCTTTAAATTGCATAATAAATTAATTAATCTTTATTTTTTGAAAATTACTATGTTTATTTTTTATTAATATGAATAAAGTAAAAATAATTAATATATCTTTAGATATATAATTTATAATCTTAATATACTATCATTTGGTGTAGACATTTATTATATGAATCATAAAATATTTTTATTTCATAAAATTAAATATATTTGAAGAAAACAAAAATTTTTCTTCGGATCAATCGGGTGATTGAATAAGGGTACTGCCTAGGTTGATTGAATTACTTCTAGGTGATATTTAAAATAGTCAAAAAAATTGACACAACTTGGTTGGTCCCAGATGACTAAGTTATGTATCAGTTCAACCACACCAAATTGATTATTGAACTGAAATATAAATTTTATATTGAAAATATTTTATTACGTGAATGTGATGTAGTCCAAAATTCACATAATCGTATTTATATATCATTTTATTAATATTTATGTAAATTATATTAATTTTATTATAATATTTATTAATGTACAGTAAATATAAGGTTTTCAGAACTGGACCGTCATCGAAATGATCAAGCTATTTTATTAAATCATTTGTGGTTTGTTCAAATTTTAATTTATAAACATTTTAATAGATACACACATATATATGGTACTTTTTGTAATAAATTTAAATAAAATGTGTTACTTAGATATCTAAATAATTTATAAATTTAGATGTTTAAACTAATTGATAAATAATTTTTAAATCTCTATTTTATTTAAATATGTAATTTTATTTAAAATAATTTTAAATATAACAAAATTTATTTAGAAAATCGTATCGATCCTACCAGTCCAACCGACTGGTGTTGACGGATTCGAGAACAAATATTTTATTCAAGCGAACTAGACTGGTTATAAACCGGTTCTCGGTTCATCCGATCGGACTGTGTCCAACCCGGTTTAATTTAAAAACAATGAATAAATCATGATTAATATTATTTATATATTTAATTTTATAATACAATCGTAATATTATTTCCCGTGCATTGCACGGGCCACGCACTAGTTTCTAGTCATGCGAGAAAAAAAAAATGCTATTCTTTGGTAAAATATCTGAACCGGCGATATTGGAGACGGTCTTAACAAGTATTTTGACGTTCACAAAAAAAATGAAAATATAACGAAAATTCCGCTTGTTTTAAATGGGATAATTCAGGTTGGGAATAGATGGTAAAATAAATAGAAAATTTACGAAAAAAGGATGCATAATGTGAGCCAATGTTGTAAACCGGTTCGTTAACCAATAGCGTTTCTTAATTGCCGCTGCCAATTTTACGAGGAATCGATTACAAGAATGTTGTGAGTTGCAAAAAAATCAATTTGATTCGGACAAAATCGATGAAACCTATGATCTTGTTTATAATTATAGCTCAAGCTATATATTTTTATTTTAATTACATATGATAACTTTGGGCGAGAAATGTATGCATGTTATGTTTTTCATTTGAATTTGGGCAAAATCAAAATCTTGTTTGAATTACTCTTATACAAAATACATAAAGCAAAACAACTTAAATTAAACACCATCATGCTTGTTGAATTGAGTTTCGGTATAAATCTAGAAAAAATCCCCGCCGGTTCAAAACCAGCCCAGAACTGGCTCAACTCGCCAGTTTTGGCTCCGAAAATATTGAATTTCATAATTCAAATTTTGAATTTTCATATCCAGTTCCAAGTATGAGCCAAGCGGAGCTCGAGCCCTTTACGAGTAGGGCCAAGCTCGGCTCATTAAATAAACGAAACACGGCTTGTTTATCACTAATAACGAGCCGAGTTCGAACCTTAATGAACCGATCTCGAGCTTTAATGTATCGAATTATAAAAAATTATAACAAAATTCCCTTTTCGAGCCATAACGAGCCTTATGGGAGTCAGGCTCGTTTAATTTAACAACACTGCAATTATAGAATTTGGTGAATGTTTTAGACTAAAGTGGGTTTGAATCTCACTCACACTGGAATAGATATTCATTTCTTATCTGAACAATCGAGCTTGGAAATAGATAACAAGAAAACGTAGAAACATTACTCTTACACTTTATAACATTATTTAGCAAGACAAAGATGAGCCAAAATTGCAAATCATATAGAACTTTTTCACACCTAGGATAAAACTGAGAACAAGGGTGAACAAAGTTCATTTTATAACTGATAACTTATATTAAATAACAACAATGGTACGAGTATAATAATAATAATAATAATAATAATAAAAGAAAAATAGCATTCTTCACGACCATCAATTTTCTTTCTCTTTCGTGTAGTGGCGGACAACAAAAGCCAACCCAAGAATCAAGAGAGGCACAATGAACTGCAAAATCTTGATTAGAAAATCCGAAGACTTATCTTGATTGTACTGTGCTTGGGCTTGTTGTGGGGGAATGTATACTCGTTTCAAGGGGACTGTTGATGGGTCTATCTCGCCAATATAGTATTTATGCAGCATTTCCCGAGCAGAATCACTGTGCCCAACGTCTTCAAAGTCATTGGTTGCATCTTTTCCTGTACACAGAAAATCGATTCAGGATTAAGTATCAAGATAGGGCCCGTTTTCTTTGGAAGATTAGCTTAGATATCCCAGTTAGCACAACCCAATCCTTTGTTTCTTTGGAATTATAACGGCCCGTTTATGAATCCTCAGCCCAATGGGTTTTACAATTTATCACTTTTGGTGATAATTCTGTCAAGGTCCAGCAGGTGGGATTTAATTGTCCCCAATTTAATGGACTGGAAATTACTCAATTGTCTTCAACTTTAAAATTTATGATCACTTTTGGGGGACTTTTTTGGTATTGCATGAATATCAAGTCAGTCGCAACAAATTGTCCCTGAATGTAAGCTCTTGATAAAAATTAAAAACAATCCAATCCTTAAAAGTGTATATCACAGCTGTTTATAAGTAAGAAAGAGATAATTTAATCTAAACAGTACACAATTTAATCTCAGTATTATCCCTTCCCAATACGTAAACGAGCCCATAAAGTACAAGACACAAGCTGCACAAGCACGATAAATAAGTGCACTAGAATATTGCGACGTTTTTATTACCTGTGGCTGATAGAAGAACTTCATCACCTCCCGGGTGATCGTCCATGAATGTAGTCACATCATAAACCTGAAAAAATACATGATATGAAGAAGAAAATAGTAGTTTAGTCAAGCCTAATTTCCCAGTTACGAAGTGTGCTCATGTGATTGCGAACTAAAATGAGGAAATCTTACCAGAAAATAGGAAAATTTAAAAAAAATAAAAAATAAAAAATAAAAAAAACTAACAATAATTTGATGCTATACATTACAATATTTGGTTCTTCATCAGTTCATCTTCAGTTCTTCACACACACACACTCACATTCAAGCCAAATAAGCAACAAACAAGAACATGATAGCCACTTGCAAATCACTAAGCATTGCTATTCACCGAAAATTCTTTTCTACCAGTGTGTATAGTGTATCTAATATCCAAATTATGCAGGTGAAATTAAGCATCTGTCAAACATATCGACATTATAACACTCTTCTCCACCATAACTCACCACCAATAACAAGATCATCAAAAATTAATAGCCCATATACTTAACAGAAATTACACACACCAGCTTCAGTAAGTTAATGCTCACAAAGCATCTTGAGCCACTCTCCATGACTGGAACGATTCAACACGAAGATCAAAGCTCGGAAGCTCGAGAAAAATATCAAATTACCAACAATGAAATTCAAAACAGAACAAAAATACGAAAAATGAAAGCAAACGATCTGACCTTTCCACTTATAATCAGCCAGCAATCTTTGGTATTGTTATGCTTCGCGACCTCCTCGAACAGGTGAACTTTCGAATCTGACGTCATTCTCTATGCAATAAACAAAAAAAAACACCGATTAAACACGATTTCTCGACGATTCACAAGCCTAAAAGATTCAAAACACGCAGATTCGAGCTCATTGAGTGGATAAATAGGTGGGAAATCACCGGAAAATTTTGGGTCCCGAAGAACTCTTCACAAGCTATATTTTCTCATTTTGGGAGTATTGTAATTATCGATCACCGATATAAAACATGGGCATTTTTTGCAATTGGAATCCTCAAGATTAAAAAAATTACTATCTAATCTCATTCTCGAAGGTTTGAATTGAATATTAAAACAAGAGGCGGCTGCACGTTAAAGGCCTTGTTTCAACGTAAGAAATTTCAACATTGTTTTGGTCAATGCATCGATATATTATACTACGTTTATAAAGGATGTATATAACATTCATATTTAGTGGGACTAACTAAAAATAAAAAATCAAATGGACTCAACTCTATGTGAGTATTATGTACACGTTTATTATGTATTTTTAGCATTTTTCTATATCAAATATTAGTCATTGTTTGTAAATTACACAAAGAAAATATCATATTTAAGATACCATATTTTGAACATTATAAAATACCGATCCAAAATACTAATCAACAAATAAAAAAATATCAAAATAAACTAAATTTAAATTGGTTGGATTATTTATTTTGATCTTAAAGGGGTCAAATTGACTGTAGAGACGTACACAATTTGCAAAACTTGATGTTAGCTAAAGTTCGATATAGGCGGACTGCAGTTGAGAGAACACCAAAACTTGATATTAGCTAAAGTTCGATATAGGCGGACTACAGTTGAGAGAACACCAGTTGTTGAGTTAAAATTTAGTGAATATAGTCATTTAATATTTTTAGTTATATATATATATTTAATGTATACATAAATATAAATCATTATATTTGTTAGTTTTGTAATGCCACTAATATTAACGGCCTGACTTGTAATATCGCATATTGACATAGACAGTTTTGCTATAGAGCCATCGGATGGTTCGACTTATGGAGCCATCATTATAGATTGACCGATATAACTAAAAATACACTATTTAAAACGATGGTTTGCTTTAGACAATTATTAGTAAGGAAGTTATGAAGTGAAATTCCTCTTCTCCGGAATTGCATGTTTGTGGACATGGATATGGCTTTTAATAGGAAACTTGATTTCTCCATAATGTTGGGTTTGTTTGGTAACATGGGCAAACTCGAAGCTTGATGCATGAGTACTCATTTTCACATGGAAGATGAACTACATGGGGTTGGTCATGTTTTTTTTATTATATTTTTTTAATATTTGTAAATAAATTCATATCTTTTCACGCTATTTTAAATTTTCCAAACACAAAATGAACTTGGACCACCTGGCCTATGACCATCCATAAAAATGAAATGGACATGAATTTATTCGCCGAATTGAGTACCAGTTAGGGATTTGGGCTTTCTAAGTAGTATATATTTTATTAAATGGGCTCGAGTCATGTTTTAATAAACTGGCCATTTGAGTCAATAAGAATAAGAAACACTCTTTATACCGGCCTTATTTCACTATCTGAGTCAAAAACTGATTTTCATCGGTTTTGACCGATAGAGTTATTGTTTTCGACTTTTTAATCAAATTTAACTCAACTTAACTTTTCTTAATATTATCAATATAGTTAAATAATATCAATCAATTAACACCACACATCACATTAATTATAATTCACTATTTTCTATAATTTTAACTACCTATCATTTCGAATAACTCGTCTCATAATTTTACATCACATCGAGTTTAATCATTATATTTAAAATATTATTTAATTACAAACTCAAAAGCACTAGCTCAATCAACTTTATCTAAAACATTTGACTTTAATCAACCAAATTCAACCAAAACTGGTTGGATTAAGATCCAATCACACCCTTAATAGAGAAGGGCATGATCGCAACTGATTTATTTGATTATGATTTGGCGTATAGTGGTGTTTTATGGTTTAATGTCTGGTGAATATAGTGAGTCAACAATATATAATATTTTATTAGAGTGGTATTTATAGTGTTTGAACTTAAATAGATAAATAAATTATTTTGATGAATTAGTGAGTTGATATATTGGATTGAGCTAAAAGCACAATAAGAAAATTTAAACTAATAATTGTTAAAAATAAAATAATAGGCCTGGGCTTCCTTATATAAATCCATCCCTAATAAGTAGTATTTTTTTNACCAAGGACCCGGTCAAAACCCGACCGACTCGGGGCATTGACCCGGCCGGATCAACCCGGTTGACCCGGTTCATATATATTTTTTTTATTTTTTTTTATTTTTTTTGTTTCTTTAAAAATAAAAATATGTATATATGTTTATATGGTAAATATTTATCATGAGATACATATTATTAACACTTTTAATATACAAATTTTATACACAAAACATTTAATTTTGTTACTTTTATGTATATTTATATAAGAAAAATACTCTATATATAATTTTACAAATTTTAAAATTAATTATCCGGTTCAGCAATTGACCCGGTGACCCGACGGTTGAATCGGTGACCCGAAGACCTGCCCGGGTTGATCACCGGGTCGGGTTTAAAAACTATGGTTCACATTATATACCGTTAGTTCAGATGCTGCATGTTGTAACTATGATAATTTGTGACAACTATTCATGAAAGTAAATAAATGTTTAGTTAATAGTACTATATACAATTGTCTATAAACTAAAAAAAGGTGCAATTATACAAAATATGCAGCAAACTCCAATCATAAACTAGAGGTAGCAGCTAAACCCCACTTTTTATTGAATCTCATGACAATCACTTTTCAAAATCCCCAAAGGCCAAAACCCACTATTGAAATAATAGCCTCTCATTTAATATGATAACTTTTTAAAATAAAAAATATTAAAAAAATGAAGTATCATGATTCATCATTCATGACCACATACTTGAGCTAAAAAAAACTTGTCCACATTCAATATAACAATATTACAGGATATGGGAAGATTCTCATTATATTCTAAAATAAAAATCTTGCTTTTATGAAAGACCAAAATCATATTTTCTATCACACTCACACCTGCTCTCACTTTGTCTATATACATTATGGTAACAATAATATTGTAATAAATTATTGATTTACTTTTGTTGGTGTAATGAGCTGGGATTAAATTTGTTATTAAGTTTTTTTCTTTCTAAATTCATATTCCAACTTATTATTTGAAGAATGATATGTATAAATAATGACGTGACAATTGTATACATGTTAATCATCAAATGAAAATAAAATGAAAAATTAAAACATAATTTTGAAACATTAATTATTTTCAATCATATAATATTATTTTTACTCCTAAAAATTAAGAAGTTTAACATAAAAAATAAGCCATAATTATCTAGAAACAATATTTTCATAAAATCAGCTGTTTAAAAGAAAATGTAATAGCAAAAACAAAAAGAAGTTGAGGGGAAAAAGGGTAAGATTAGCAATTATTTTTCTGATTTTAGAAAGAAATACATTATACACCTAAAGTAAACATTTTAGTAAATAACACGACTATAAATACACCCTAAAAAGCATAATTTCTCCCCAAAATGAGAATAATAAAAAAGAAAAGGAGAAGGGACTGATAGCTCGCATGGCAGAACTATCGCCGGACATGTCCACCGTCCACCGCCCTTCTCCGCCGCCCTTCCTCCGCCTCACCGGGACCCCGTCGTTCAACCCGACCCGCATCGGAGACCCGCTCGAGCTCCACGAGAGCGACGTCGTCTGGTCTTTCGCCGCCTCCCCTGCCCCGCACCCCCGCCCGGCCCCCGACGGCGACCGCCGCCGCTTCAATCCGTCGAGATCCGGACTCTCCGCTCTCCTCTGCGACGAGGGCCACCGCCTCGTCGGCCGGAAATCGACCCCCAGGGTGATTCCCCAGGAGGCGCGGCGCGAGGAGGCTCCGGCGAAGCTCCGCCAATCGGCGCCCGTGAACATCCCGGCGTGGACGAGGGATCCGAAGAGGCTCGACTGGACGGTGGAGGACGACAGCGGCGGCGGGGAGGAGGAGGAGGAGAAGGAGATGGTGCCGCCGCACGTGATCGTGGCCAGGTCGCACGTGACCTTCTCGGTGTTCGAGGGCGCCGGGAGGACGCTTAAGGGCCGGGATTTGCGCCGGGTGAGGAACGCCGTGCTGCAGAAAACAGGTTTTATTGACTGACAGTAAAGTATTTTAGAGAGAAAAATCAAATCTTGGACAATAATATGTCAGAAATTTTGGAGATGAATGTATGTTGTGTACCTGTGATGCTATTTTCTTGTTCCTTTTTCATTTTATGTTGTCCTGTTACTCTGTATCTTGAAAATATTTACATGTGCCTTAAGAAATTATGCTCCGGCTTTGTTTCAAAGATGTCATTTGTTATTGCAGCTTGGTTATACATGATGGTGGTGTTAATAGAAATGAAACACCTTCATGAGGAATATATGTAGGGGGTGTTTGATAATCACCATAAGGTAGTTTGTAAGCTTGCTGTAGACAAATAAGTTTGGTTTGCAAGGACGAGTTTTTTCAAAACGCTCGTACTCATCTAATAAGCTTCATTGAGTAGCTTTTCGAATAAGCCCGTTGAAATTTCTATTTCAGGTTTATCAGCTAACCAAACGTTTTTATCATATCAGCTAGTTTTTCAGTCATATGCTATCAGCTATAAACTCGAAATTAACTTATCAGCTAGCTCATCAGCTAGTTTTACACCAAACATAGCCATAATGTAGCTTTATGGCTCACGAGACAAGAAATCAAGATAAAGTTCACTTTCCCTAGTCGATGCAAGTTTTCGAGAGCAATAAAAGCTATGGCTGATTTGAGATGATCGAATTCGATTTTTCGAGCTCCTGTGATTGTTCTTGTAATGAGAAAAGGTTCATGTTTTTTATGCATTTTATTTTTTATTATTGTTGGTCCTGTTCGGCTTTAACTCTGAGTGTCCATTAGTATTTAGTAGGGGAAAGTTGCAATCTTTAGGTGTCTTGTGGTTATATAAGTGCTCTTTGCAATAGCTGTAGAACTTGCAAATGCTTTCATTTAAGGCCCATGTGGTTAGATGAGTTACTTTTCATTTGCATTCATTTTGTTGAATACAAAAGGCATGTGCTTTATTAGGCGGTTGGTCGTCTGAGGGCAATTTAGGCATTTTTTTAAGTGTCATCTGAAAATACCGGGTTTGAATTATGTGTTTTTGTCAAGAACATATTTTTTCTCAACAAGTTGTTTTCTTGGTGTTATTTACGTGCAATTTATTGTTTTTGTGATGGAACTTTTTTAGCCACCATCTTTTATCAGCCATGAATCTGCATAGTGTCTATAAGTGACGAAAGCCCATAAGTCTGGTGAAATTGTCATGATAGATATTATGAACTTCAACAAGATAAATTCATAGCAATTTTTTCAACACGCTAAAGGGTATATTCGTTTCATTATGTAGACTCATTGTTTGCATTTCAAGGACTAACATGGCTCTTCATTTTTCCTTTTTCCCCTTCTTAATATATATCTTTACTTTCTACGTACAAAAACCTTACCCCAAGGCTATCAAGTGATTTCCACTTAATCTTATAACATTCCACGGTGAAACTCCTCAGATTGTTTCATTTTTTCATTTGGCATGTGAAGTGTGATATATACAGATAACATCAACATATTAAATGTAGCTAAAGGTGTCCTTTGGATGCACTAGAGTAACATAACTGGTGTAAAGTCTCAAAAGGTGCTTTTTGTTCATATTGTTCTCTGTTTTGTTCTTGGATATACTTTCTCCAATCTCACCTTTTTCCCTTGTTCTTTCTAGAAGTTCTTCTCATATTTTCTATGTACTACTGGGTTTTCTTGTTGGAAGATGGATCTTTTTAAATTTTTCTGAAAATGACTTTTATGGATATGCATGAATCTGATAAAGTTGGTGTTGGCCAGTGGTGCATTGAAAAGATCTGGACCACATTTCATTTTGATGGATGAATTGACCTCTTTGAGTAATCTAGTCTGCCAAATACAATAATTTACTTTCTTTTTTATTTAATGTGATGTTCTCTAAGAATTCTTGCTCAGTGGGTTCTTGCCGTCTCTAAAATTTAAATAATGAAATCTATAATAGTAAGAGATTGGCCTTGTTTGGCTATTAGCCGATAGCCTTGTTTGGCCTTGTTTGGCTACTAGCAGATTGTATTGGAATATTACAAATCAGTATTTTGTATATAGCTGTGTTTGTATAGTTATTTTGAAAACGCGATGTTGTCGTGCTATGTAACTTATTTTATGAATCCTTTCTTTTGGCCAGGCTCTTTTTCTCAGGGCTTTGTTGGTAAAATTTTATTTTCTTGGAGATAATTACAAGAACAAGTATAGATGTTTGATATAACATACAAATCATTCCATCTGAAAACATTTATTAAGATTTGCATGTTGGTGAACTTGTAGAATAAAAACCATTATAACTGATATTTAAAAAAAAATAAATGAAAAAAAAAAATAAAAAAAAATTGGAATGGACTGTTGATACTCTTTGTCAGGTGAATCAATTCCAATCAGATAGTTCCTAAGCCCGTACTAGCTGACTCCCACAGGCCACATACTAGAACACAAACAACAAATTTAGCATAAAGTACTTTTTAAACCTTGTGCTAGTTGATGATGACCGCCGATATTTCAAGCAGCAGGAGATCACAATGTATCGGCATCATCCTGATTCACTTTTGCAAGTATCTATGATTTTATGGTTTTACTGTCTCAAGCCTTTCCTTTAGTTAAAAGTCTTACATCAGTGCTTTAGTTAAAGTTCGCGTTTTACTGTTCTTCATCAGTTAGACCTTTTCTTTTATACAAAAATTACGTGCAATTGTACAGAGGAAGGATTTGTGCATGTGAACTTCCTAGAGATGGTTAGTTGATGTGTTCTGGTAGGAGATGGTTCGATATAGTCTTAAGTCGATTTCTCATTCAAGGAGCGCGTGCTTGGTGCACCGTCCGTGCATGTTGTTTTTTTGCATTTTAATAAAAAAATACATTTCTTTGTGTGTGTGTAAAGAATAATATACGCATCATAATTATTTAATTTTTTTGTCATCATGTATATGTTGTGGTGGTGGTTAATATACCTCCCTAGACGTAATAAATTATTTTTACCCTTATTAATAAATGAACTCATCTATTAATTCTACTTATAATACAAATAGACTATGTTATCGTGTTGAAAAACATTTTAACAAGAGTTGAACAAACGCAATTAAATAAATCTTTGGCCTCGCGCAATATAAAGTTATCATTTTCATAAAAATAATAATGCTATTTTTTTTAATAAAATATAATATACCTATTTTTTAATTTTTGTTATAGGTAAATTTCTTAATTCAAAACTCTTATAATATTTGAAAACTTATCTGCCATTTTCACAGCCCAGATAGAGAACATCATTTCAAAAAGTGAAAATAAAAAGAATTACAAAATGAAAACTGAAATAAAAAATGCTGGAAAAAGAAACAGATAGGATTATAGTTGCAAAATGCACAACTGATCCCACATATTAACGGTGTAACATAACACTTACTTATACTCTGCAGTAAAGTATGATGGTAAAAGAATATAAATAAGTTAGAATCGCCATTACATGAAAAACTAGGGCGCCCCCTTAGGATGCTTTATATCTCTATCTTAGAAAAAAAACTGGGACCTCAAACTTATGATCCATAGTTCCTTACAGCATGACACAAAAAACCAACAGTAAACTGGTATTACTTTAATCTTGCACATATTAACTGCATTTCCCGATAATGAGCTTTCACTACTTCTTCTAGTGTGAGCAAACCAAACATTTTTTTTGTTGTAATTTGGTAAACGAAATAATTGTACGCTCACCTCTTCTTTTTTTTTCTTTTCCGTTTTTTCTTCATTTGTTTTTCTTCTATAAAATCATATGATCAACCCGACAAAATGCTGGCCACGGATTTTGGCGGGAACTAGAAGATCAGGCAACATCCAACGGCTCAGCTTCGGTATTTCTCTCCTTCAGCATGGACCACTCTTCCGACTCTGGAAAAAGAACAAAGTAAAGGCCACTTTATTTTAAAGAAGATTGTCTATATAATGACTGCAAAAAGTCAACAAACCCTCAGAATTATTTAAAAAAATAAAAATTATCCGAGTTTTACTCTTTACATTCCACCCCTTCACTAGCAGCAAATAACATCATAACAGAAACCCCGTCACATATATAAGAAATTCTAATAAGCCCCCCTGACCATATATATAAAACTGACTCAAACCTCAGGGTAGTATTATTATAATTTTAGAGTCAGCTTCTCTTTCTTTGTGTTTGTTCTTTTTTCTGTAGTTTATCCAACATCAAAAGGACTCTCTGTTAACATTATTGCAAGCAAATATGCAGATTTAACTATGACTCACTTGGCTTATCTCCAATTGCCGAGAGGCGCCTCTGCAGAATGGACGCCACAAAAAGGAAAATAGAGCACATGCCGAACATTACCGTAATGGGGAATGCATTAACCTGAA